ATTTTATTCTTATTGATTAGTTAAAGACATTAGTTTCCAATGACAAGACTTGTTTTATTACCAATTAGACAGGTTATAGTGGTGGTCTGAATCTCGGACTGATTGCTTCCTTGATGGACTAGAGATTTCCTCGTTCATGGTAAGTTATGTAACTTTTTTTGCGTCTGCTAGGCCATTTCTTTGACCAATTATACTTAAGTCTTCGAAACTGAGATTTTTTAGCTGAGGCAATCAGTAATAGTGTTTACAGCTCACTGTCAAAATTCGATTCTTCAAATCCATGTGTGTCCAGAATTTTCAGCGTTATGACTCATCAATTTAGGATACTCTGTGATATATAGAAAAGACATATATAGAAATAGTGAGTAAAATTCCTATTTTGAAGTAATATTAAAGGAATTATGTGATTTTCGTACATTTCAAGTACTTCTACAGACTATTTACATATATTCAAGACTCAAATCAACCCCGATTCATAGTGTAACAGGTTCTATTTTGATTTACCGCCTTTTAGCTGTCATACACTCGATTCATAGTGTAACAGGTTCTATTTTGATTTAACGCCCTTTTAGCTGTCATACACTTGATTTATAGTGTTATGAATTCTATTTTATTTTCCTTCCATTTTGCTGTCATACACTCGATTCATAGTGTAACAGGTTCTATTTTGATTTAACGGCCCTTTTAGCTGTCATACACTCGATTCATAGTGTAACAGGTTCTATTTTGAATTACTGCCCTTTTAGTTGTCATACACTCGATTCATAGTGTAACAGGTTATATTTTGATTTACCGCCCTTTTAGCTGTCATACACTCGATTCATAGTGTAACAGGTTCTATTTTGATTTAACGCCCTTTTAGCTGTCATACACTTGATTCATAGTGTTATGAATTCTATTTTATTTTCCTTCCATTTTGCTGTCATACACTCGATTCATAGTGTAACAGGTTCTATTTCGATTTCCAGCCCTTTTAGCTGTCATACACTCGATTCATAGTGTAACAGGTTCTATTTTGATTTGCAGCCCTTTTAGCTGTCATACACTCGATTCATAGTGTAACAGGTTCTATTTTGAATTCCCGCCCTTTTAGTTGTCATACACTCGATTCATAGTATTTTATTTTATTTCCATTTTGTGTAGTTGTCTGAATCTATATGAATACATGTCACTTTCATAAAATTGATGTCTGCTGTTTTAGATGACAAGATAGAAGTAGTTGTCTGAGTCCTTGAAGACACGACTTTCCAGACATAAACACTTCCTTCATAGAAATGAAAATATTTTGTTTACACGCTTAAATAGTAAATGTAAACCAATCATACTGTTTGTTCCTACATGAGAGAAGATCACATTATGCTATGCGCCAAGGGAACGAGTTGGAGGCGTTGGAGCTATTGTTATCTTGGTATTGATTGGCTGAAATTTACGTCATACACTACAGTTACGTCATTAGGGTTCCTAGTTGTCAACGATATTATATGTCACGCTAAATCCTGTTGTCAATATTTTGACCGTGAGATTAGGCTGCACCTATTGTTAGCGTAGGGTACCAGTTTAAATCCCAACCAGACCCATCATCTGCATGGATGTAGCTATGGTGATCGATTAACATTTTTGGGGAGGTTGATTTGAGTCTTGAATATATGTAAATAATCTTCAGAAGTACTAGAAATGTAGAAATTCCATAATTCCTTCAAAAATATTTCAAACTAGGAATTTCTTTTTCTATTTCTAAAGATATCTTTTATATATGGCATTGTTTCTAGAAAAGTCTTTTAAACTTTCAATTGCGGATATTTCTAGACACACTCAAATTTTGATGGTGAGCTCTGAACACTATTATTGTTTGGCTCTGCTAAAAAATCCACGTTTCTGAGACTAAAGTATGATTGGTCGGAAAACTGACACAACTGTCCCTTGAAATGATGAGAATTTTTGATAAAAATGGTGATATTTTGACATTTAATGTCATATTATTGATATTTCATTGAGTAATTTATTTCCCCACAATAATACAATGTTATTTAACTTTTCACCGATATTTGAGTAACTCTTCTGTTAATAGAGGTAAAATTAGTGTCAGTCAATAGTCCAAGTTTGTAATTGGTGTCAACGTTAAGTCAATCATTCGACTATTTTGTCTACCAATTTGATTACATCAGATAAATTGTCTCACAGTATTTTGTGGTCTGTTAAAGATGGGTTTCCTTATATCTAGTGTCAAAATAAGCAAACTATTTTATTAATTGATGTTTCTAATGAATTTTGACATACTCTTAATCATATCATTATTTTCTTACATTGCATATAATTAATAAATGCATAAATGTCCATGTATGTACAGTCTGGGTAAACAAAAAAAGACATTTTGACCTTTCCTGATTGGCCACTCATTGGAATTCTGGTGATTAATTATGGATATGTGAGACAAACTGGTATTTTTCCAAGTCATTAAAACATGTCTACTTTCTATTCAAATAAGTATTAGCATTTTCATTTTCATAAATAAAAATAAGGGAATCCATCTTTAATATTCAACTTTTATTCGCTGAAACTATTTTTGATTTCAAAAATGAATTATGTTCTATCCTAGGCCTGTACATTTTGGGAGATTCAAAGTCTCTCTTCACCTAAATCTAAATGAAGTATTTGTTTCATCCTGTACATTTGGTAGAATTAAACCTTTTCTTCCCCGAAATCTAAATCTTTTACTGACTCAAAAAAACAGAATACTTTTGCTCCAGTTCATAGTCAAATATAAAACTTAAAGATGCCTTAAATACTTTCAAGTTTCGAAAACAAAAAATCCTCTTTACCCAAAGCCATCTTTTTTGGTGGGAAATTTGAAAAAAAATGGCCTTGCAGCTGATTGGTTCAGTTATTCCTTGAAACAATGCCTTTAAAACCACAGATACACAACATCATACCTTAGACCAACAATAATATTTGTCCCAATCGTTTCAAATCTCAAGTACATTGGAGTGACACAAATTGCCTTAATGGCGGAAATGATTGGATGAAGGTAGGACCAGACATTAGATAATTATAAACACGTCTGCTCTCTCCTTCAGGCCAGAAAAAATAAAGTTACTTCCACACTTGAAATTCTGGCCATTTTGAAATTTTGTTGATATAATACATTAAACAATAATGGCCAAAAGAACACGTCTGCCAAAAGATTCAGAATCATTTGTTTGAACGAGATAGAATAAATAAGTTACTTCAAATTCTGGCCATTTTGTTGATGCCATCTGAGACATTTTATGGCAGAATACAATGTGCAATTCTGTTTTCAAGATTTTAGCCAAATTGTTATTAGAGATTTATCAACCCGGTTTCCACTTGTCAGTGATGCAGATTGGAGGGACTAAATTAAAGATCCCTCGACAGTTGGAAATCGAAAAAAAGCAGGCTAATGCCACTACTCTGATAAAATTACCCTCATTGCGCGCGCACTGCATGGCGTTGCCCATCTTAATTAGCCCTTAAGGTGCAGAAAAATAGGAAGTAAAACTCCATTCATTTCATTTCATTTGTATAATTCGGATTCTTTGCTACAGTACCTTTAATTGAGATGTCAGAATTCACCTGAAATCTATAAATTATACAGCAGAATTACTTTCATACCAGATGGTTTCAAAAAAACTTTTTCTATAAAAAAATAATATAACAGACTAAAAATGTAATAAATTTGATAAAAACTGTTCTGAAAACATCTGTATTTAAGATTTTGACATCTGGCATGCTCGGTAAGTACATAGGATAGTCTGGATGATAAAGTAACAACAGAAACAGAGGTGTAGACCTTTTTTCACTTCTAAATTAGAGAGCTATGTTGGCACTAAATTGGATCCCTTTGTGTTAGCTTATCGCTACACTATCAACAGGTAGGGCCTTAATCTCACCGTCAAAATATTAACCACAGGATTTACCGAGACATAGTCTATTTAGCGTTGACGACAAGGAACCCCAATGACGTTTCTGTAGGGTTTGACATGAATTTCGTCCAATCTATGCCAAGAAACAATAGCTCAAACCCGTTCCTTCGATGCAAAGATTGAGACGGAATGCCATACCAGTTTACGTTGGCTCAAGGTGTGGTTGTTTTCCTGGTTTCATCCTAGAATCCAATGATATGATAGAATTCTCTGGTTGTTCAGTAAACTGACCTTGAGAGGCCTCAAAAACAAATTAACATTATTTAGCCATTTCTAAATATATTTCAATGGTATGGTTTGGACATATTTTGGAAGCAAACTTTAATACAAGCCATGGTTATTGTCCACTAATTCTTGTAATTAAACCTGTCAACACCCCTCCCCCATTGGTACAGTCACTGGCTCCATGATAAACCTACCTATACCTAATTGACCAAAGCTTATTTCAGATATTTAAGCCAATTTCATTCCTTTCTTCATAATAGCTCACATACTGCAGAAATGTAGGATGTAAAACTCCATTCATTTGATATCATGACTGGCTAATTTGATCATCTCATCATCTGCATACAACATCGCTCCTCCTGTAAATATTGATATGAAAGTGAAAGGGAGATAAATAAACAGGCTATTAAAGAATATTTTACCTGGTATCAAAATTAGAGAGGAAAGGTCAGACCTGACAGGTGTATCAAATACCTTTTAATATACAACTATAACCTAATTACTATAATTATACCTCTAACCTAGTCTTACAGTGACTAAATTAATAGATGAATGAATGAATAGATTAATATGTTTACAAGTTACAATTAATAAATGACAAATATATGAATGAACATAAGAATTAATGAATGAACAAATGAACGAATGGATATTACAAGTTTGGTACAATTAGTAAATGAAAGATAGTGGACCACAGTCAAATACGCCCACCACGGCATGCGGTTGGTAAATATTCAAGATTTTGGGGCAAGGGCAATAACTTGATCTTTGTTTTATGAATATGTATACACATACTGAATTTCATTTGATTCCATAAAAAAATCTAGTTTTTAGAGCGTTTACAAGCAAATGTTGCCGGACGGACGGAGTGTTTACGAGCATTTGATGTTGATAGAAGCACGGACCGACGGACGGACAGAGGTGCCAACAATATATGTCCACATAGAGAGATGTGGGCGTATAAAAATGAATGATTGAAAGGATTAACGAACTTTGTTCAAACCAGTCCCTATGGTAGTTGAGACAATTCAGCATTTCAAAAGCAGTTGATATAAATCACTATATTTAGTAGATCAATAATTTAAAATACAGCTAATATTACAGTAATATTTAAACCAATTTAAATTACATCTTGAAAAAAAATTATCACGAAAAAAGCTTATTGATAATCTTTCATAGTGTTGACATTAGTTACAGAATAAAACACATATATTGATTGCTACGGTAACCATTTTGTGGAAATCCATAACCATTTTTTACAGTACCAGTCTGATTCTTTTTTCCAATATAGTAGCACTATTAAGCAAACAAATTGAAAGGAACAGTGGCTGCGCCAGTTGGGGTACAGGAAGCCTATTGTTTCCCTCACAAATTTAAAAATGTAATTTTTATACGTTTTTGCACCGAAATATGTGTCAGAATGCACAAAAATGTTATTTTTTGAAAAAAATTTTGAGAGAACCCTCAAAGACGCTCCATGAGAGGTTTGCGACTCTTACTTCTCAAGAGAGCTATCTCCCCATTGAGTCAGCCTGCCCCTTATTTGTTCCCAGGTGGCTGGTACCGCAGGAAAGGGATCAAGAAGGGAAGGGGGTAGAAAAATACATGTTTGAAAATTGTAGTTGGCAACCAAACATTGCATTGACTAACCTAAAGCCAGGCTCTGCCCTAAAACCAGGCTCTGCCTTAAAAATAGGATCTGAATTAAAACCAGACTCTGCCCTAAAACCAGGGCTCTGGCCTTAAACCAGACTCTGCCCTAAAACCAGAGCTCTGTCCTTAAAACCAGGCTCTGGCCTAAAACCAGACTCTGCCCTAAAACCAGGCTCTGCCCTAAAACCAGAGCTCTGCTCTTAAAACCAGAGCTCTGCTCTTAAAACCCGGGCTCTGCCCTAAAACCAGGCTTTGCTCTTAAAACCAGTGCTCTGCCCTAAAACCAGGCTCTGCCCTTAAATCCAGGCTCTGCCCTAAAACCAGACTCTGCCCTAAAACCAGGTTCTGCCTTAAAACCAGGCCCTGCCCTAAAACCAGGCTCTCCAGGCTTTGCCCTAAAACCAGGCTCTGCCACAATTGAAACTACTGGCGTGAAGTGGGTCTAAAGGACACAAATAATGGAGAAAATATTAAGACGACTTTTGTTTGTTTTATTTTGAGTCAATATTTGCTGTATGAAATGTCAATAAGAGAGAATTATCGATATTAACTGAATTAGGAATCGTAGCAGGAATCCTGATATTTAACATTTCATCTTTAAATCTAATCTGTGATTACTTTCAGGAGATTTTGTCAAGAGTTCCAATATGACATAGTTTGGAGGGTAGACTTGGACAGGACATTTATTAAAGGGATTGTAAAAAGGTTTTTTAATTTTTTATGTGTATTGGTAACACTGATAGCATAAATTTACACCATTCTATACTTCCTTCAGACGTCTGTGGTTCCAGCAATTCCACTAAAACTAAGTGTTTCACATCACTAAATGCAAAAAATATGTGCTTACATGACATGCTTTGATGAGTTAAAATTTTTACCAGAAGGACAGGCTTTTGATAGTAAACTTGTTAAATTTCAATGTAAACTGAAAAATATAAGAAAACATACAAGATACGAATTGTAATTTTATTTTAATAAGATTGCTGCAGTGGACAGTACCTTGAGAAAAAAAAAATGGTTAAGCCTAACCAATTCAACCAATCATTTCATCAAAAGTCAAAAATGACCGATGACTGACTCAAATCAATGTCCTTCAGAAAAGTAAGAAATAGTGAGAATGACATGAAGTACTAGTATAATGACCAGTATAAGTACCGGTCAGTGATCAGATATTATATCAGATGTCTAGACACCACGGATTATCTTATCAAATATAATGAAACCACACTTCATTTCCAATTCTAAAAGATCTGTTGGTAACATCACTAGACTGAAATGTAATGAAATCTTTTCAGGCTTCATCTTTTCCTGTTCTTGAGACAGTTTTCAGCCGTTTCGACCTGCTTTTGCATTAAAAATAGACAGAACTTACTCCACTAATTCATTTAATTCTTCCCATGTTAAAACACGAAATTCAACCTTCTACAACTTTTTCCAGAAATCTCGTTGAAAGGTTTCCAATATTTCGAATGAAAGTCTGACCAATCCTTAATGTCTCCTAAAAAATTCAATATGTGATGACCATGAAAATTTTGAGCTACTAAAATTGAAAGTAGACTACTACCGGTTATACTCATCTGCTAGAGTTTGGCAGTTCACAAAACTTTGATTTTTTGAATTAGTCTTCTGTCTGTAGATCTCTCATCATCTCACCAAATTTTAAAGATAATGCATATTCAGACAACTTCTAATTAGCGACAGACGTCGGTGATGAAGGGCAAATTGGAATAGAGATTAAGGAATTTTCCAAATCTGAAAGTTCAAATCCCAATACCCACAGTTTTTACAATATTCGGACAACTTCTAAATGGTGGCAGACGTCGGTGATGAAGGGCAAATTGGAGTAGAGATTTATGAATTTTCCAAATTTCAAAGTTCAAATCCCAATACTAGCTTTTATCATATTCAGAAAACTTCTATATGGCGGCAGACATCAGTGATGAAGGGCAAATTGGAGTAGAGATTATAATATTTTCTAATTATAGATTGTCTATAGAGGCGGAAGATATGTGACAAGGACAAGATAATGATACTGATACATATATAGATCTTCTTGTCTTCAGAGTTCCGATTGATTGAAGACATGTTAGGTTGTCTATTAATTGATATCTGATGACATGAAACCTTGTAAACTCATACTAATTATTGAAGGTAACTTTATGGTCTCAAGTTTGTAACTACCGATTTCAATGGATTATTTTTCTGATTTATTCTTATCCCCGTGTACACTAAAAAGCTTATCTGTTCTTAGAACAGTTGGGAGCCGCGATGGCTCAATCAGCTCAATAACCTGAAGATCCAGGGTTCAATCCCGGCATAGGTCGAGATAATACCTTCAGATTTTTTTAACCCCATTTCCCATTGTCAGTGATGCAGGTAAGAGGGGCTGACATGAAAAAACATCTAGTCGCTCGGATGGTCCCATGTGCTGCAGGTTGCGCACGTTTAAGATACCTTGACAAATCAAAAAAGAGCAGACTGATGCCGCTGTCCTGGTAAAATTTCCCTCATTCCACCCTGCATGGCGTTGCCTGTCTTCATTAGTCCACATGGTGCATTCATTTCATTTGATTTCTCAGAACAGTTCCATGAAAGAAACGAATAAAAAATTAGAAGTGTTCAAGAACTGTTCTTGCGCATGCGTCCATAGTTTATGTGAGCAAACGATATGGCTGCCAGATGAATTTTTTTTGTCTTCATGCAGGTTGCTAGGTAGTCTATAATTACCACTTTTGTGAAGAGTTCCATTAAAATGTTTCTGAGCAGATCGTTTACATTAGAACAGAAAACACTTCTCGGAAAGCTTAAAATTGTAGTAGTGTAAACGGTAAATATATCGTAATGTTATCGTGTCCAGGTGGAGACCAAAAACAAAACGTTTCGTAGCATCATTGTCATTTATTTTGTTGATTTCTAATTTTCCACCATGTCCATATTCGTGTGAGGATCAATCAATTGAAAGGAAAATGATTCTGATGTTCTGTCTTGCAGACTATAAAACTATTGGAGACAATTATCAAACTTGTTTGATATTAAAAAGCGTGTTCGCCAAGCAATGATCTTTATGTGTAAGCGTGGGCACACATGAGATTTTACTGTTGGCCACAAAAATTGGCAACCAAGACTGTTTGTGTGCCCGCACCAAAAGGCTGATGTGAATTTATATAGATCTATGACCTAAATGGCTCTTCATTGTCTTTCAGCCTTGGACATTAAAAATTTATAACCCAGAAAATAACATAATAGTCATTTATTTTAGTATCTATTACTTATTTATTATTTAATCTTCACAGTTCAGGTTCATTCTAATATTAAAGGGACAGTTGCCCCTTTCGGGGCAGTTGATTTGAGTCTTGAATATATGTAAATAGTTTTCAGAAGTACTAGAAATGTACGAAAATCCCCAAATTCCTTTAAAAATATCTCAAACTAGGAATTTTACTCTCTATTTTATATATGGCAGCGTTACAAGAAAAGATGAGACGAGGCGTCATTTTAACAATCAAACTTATAATTCTGACAGTAGATTCGACAGTGAGCTGTGAACATTATTACTGATTGGCTTATCTAAAAAATTCATGTTTCTAAGACTAAGGCACCATTGGTCAAAAAATGTCCCTTTAAATTGCAGGAACCATGCCAGTAGAAATGAGGTAAATTATATTGTTTAATTTTGACACACAACTCTATGCAGTGTGCAATGACTGAAATTCTGCTTTAAAATTTGTTCAAATGGTGTGCAATAAGTCTTAAAGCTCATACTTAACAGAATAAATAATTTGAAAAAAAAAAACACAAAAAAAAAATTTATAAATTGATCTGGAAGCATGAAACCATTTCAAGATGAAAATTTCTCAGGCAACTCTATACAGTGCACAATGGAGGCTGTTTTTTTCTGTTTAAATTTGAAGTCTTAAACCTTGTACTAAACAGTATGAAATATTAGAAATATACCTCAAAAATTGAAAAATCTCCCACAAAAAAATATTTTATCAATTAATATGGAAGAATAAAACCATTTCAAGATGAAAATCTGACATTTTCCTGCATTTCCTTTACATACAGTCCACAAAGGTAATACATTAAGATGTAATGAAATTAGGTTAACTTGAGTTTGGAAAGTTAACAAGATAAATGCTAATAAGTCAAATTGGTGATAAGAATGATGGGTAAAAGGTTTTAGGCTCACCCCGCCTTTCACAAGCGATTAGATAACCATTCCATTGAGGCGCCACATCTGTTACTGGTTACAAGTATAAGAAAACACACTCTAGATAATTGGGCGAACTGTGTAGATCATGGCAGCTTCAGCCAGATAAGA